CAATTCATGCATGTTTTTGTCACCCATGCTCATTGTTTCAATTAGTAGCGCGCACACACTTTGGTTACAATATTGAATTCCCCCAAATTGTTACAGGCTGGATGTTTAGAGGAAGAGCTTAGTAGTGATTCCAATGCCCTAAGACCTCTCTCCTATCTCTTTCACCTTACTTTATTTAGCTTGTTTCTTCTTGCATTGCTTAATTTAGTTAATCATAGTTTAATTAAACCAAATCAAACCACTCTTTTAATCACTTGACCTACTAATTTGACTTTAATTCCAAATACCCTTACAATCTCTTGGGACAATCCCTACTCCTATGCTACATTAGTAGTAGTAGTAGTAGTGGTAGTTTTATATATTTAAATTTGACTAAAAATGCTTCTTAAACCACACTTGTAATTTGACCTTGTGAAGTGACCTCTCGCATTAAATTCACACTCTTTTCTCCCACGAGGAAAGGGCATTGTCAGTTAACAACATAGTTGGATGCCGGTTCACTCAAAAATGATGCTATAATTGATTTTGATAAGCATGGTTAGCTTGTTTGATGTGTGGGGGTCATATTTGTTTATGTGATATTAAAATGTTGAGAATAACTTAGAAATGGCTGAACTTTGCATACTTGAGATAGTTTCTATTAATGATTATTGAAAGGTGCTTTGAGGATGAGCCTTTGATATTGATGATGGATAACCCCTTTTTCTAGAAACTCTCACGAGACTTCACTCGTCCAGTAGGGGTAACCTAGGAGTTCAAAAGGCTTGTTGCATATACTAAATGAAACCGTGATCCCTACGAAAAAAGGAGTTATCTAGATTTTACTTTTCATACTTGTTGTTTTCATTCTGTTTCTTTTATTTATTACTAAGGGGCTAGAAATATATAAGTTTGGGGGTGTGATAAGTGTTGAAATATGCATTATTTAGCCCTTAATCTTCATTAGTTAGCAACTTGGTCTATCTTTACTCCTCCGTTTTAGTCTTGATTTATCCCATTCTCTATTTTCAGATACTTGAGATCCAATAGGGGTAATTCCAATGCCTTAAAGGTTTAAAGATGTAATGATCCTGATTTTTCCTATTTTCTATTTTCTTTGATTTTTTGATTTTTTTTTAATTATTTTTATATTGTCTCGTTTTGCGTGCCAAATACCGTGGGGTATGACAAGTGTGTCCCGAGAGTTAGTTGAGGCATTTCCTTGAGTTCAGGACTCTTGAAAATGCATTGGTTGTCATTTCAACATTTTCCATTTTTTGGGCCGGGCAGGACCCTTTACCAAAGTAGTTAAGCACGAGGACTGTGTTTCGGGTTTGTTGCATTTCATACATCATTATTTTGTACTTAATTTCATGGTTTCATATTTATTTATGGTTGTAATTGGTTAGTGTGTATATAAATATATATATGTTACAAAATAAAAGTTGATTTTTTTATAAGGCCGCAAGACCCACCCTTGCACTATGCCATTATTAATGGCCTTAAGGACATCAAATGACTACCATTATCATCTCTCTCATGCCAATAGATATCACTCTCTCTATATTTCATTTTTCATTTTATTTTCACCATATTTTGAGCTTAGATCTAAGCTTATTCGTTGGGATTTTGGCTTTGCCACTTAAGGCAAAGTCGACGAGGGCGTCGAGGCCTACATTTTGATCAGAGCAATTCTCAGTTTGGCCACCCTTTTATATTTCACATTTTGGGCCTTTTTCTTCTAATTGAGGTAGGAGTGTTCTAATGCATGTTTCTTTGATTTTTGTGAATTATCCCTTGTGAATTTTGTTAATAGCATGCTCAATTTGTGTATTTTGTTCTTGGCAATTATGGTTAAATATATAAAATGTGATTGATGTGTTTCATAGATTAAATGTGTTGTTATATGAGTATTTATTTGAAATTGTGAAAGAGCATGCTTAAAACTAAATTGTTGTATGCATTATATTTTCAATTGTCATGAAAATTGAAGTCGTAATTATGAGGATGCTTTGAATTTCTTTTAAATATGCAAGTATGATGTGAATGAAATGCATGAAATTTTATTGTTAAATTGCCAATTGGAAGCATGAAACATTCATGCATTCATTGGGAAAGAAAAAGGGGGAAGTTTTTTTAAAAAGAAAAAAGAAAAAAGAAAAAAAGCAATGAAATTAATTTTCAGGATAAATGTTTTGAAAAAGTATTTACGAAAACCCAGGAACCTAGGAGTTGCCTAGTGTTCTGTGGTGTTAGTGTGGTCTAAAGGGGATTAGGGAGAAACCCTGGCATGGTTGGGCTACCTAGGCCCGAAACGACGCCTTGGAGTTGCCATGTGGTCAAGGATAGCTAGTCAATCCTCCTCTCGTGACGCCACGGAGTTGCAATGGGTCGGATTGCACTAACGGTTTGAAAAGATGAAACTGAATTGTTTCAGAAATGGGGAGCAACATTGGCATGTCATTGCATTACATTGGCATGCATTATATACATATGGTTGGATAACCTGTATTGTTGTTGTTGTTGTTGTTGCTATGTTTTCCCCTATGGCATGATCCCGTTTACTTTTAGTCTATGCTTTGTGTGGATTCACGGGGTCATTAAGAGGTGTGTCTTAGACACTTCCTACTGAGCCGTTGTGCTCACCCCATTACATTAATAATTTTTTTCAAGCCACGGGAAGGAAATGGCGGACGACGCTCCTCCACAAGTTTTGATGGGTTAGTGGACTGTCTTGACATCTTTTGTAGTTATGATCTAATTTTTTTTGTATAAGCCTTGGGATGGCACGTATATTATGTATCGACGTTAGAATTGATCATAATACCCTTAGATGATGACTTCGGGTTCGGGTAAAGACCCAGTTAGTGATTCGGACCCTCAGGTTTGGGTCGTTACAAAAGATGTCAAGCCTCGGAGAACAATGGAAGAGAATTTTAAAGGTCTAATTCAAAGAATACCCGATCGATCGGATTATCTGTTTGGAATCCGATTGAACGGACTTTTGATCCGATCGATTAGACACGGGCCTAGAAGTTGCGAATTTCATATTATAAGCCTTCTTTAAGGGAGCCCGGGATGAAAGGAACTAAGGGTCCTTATGTACGGGGTTTGACCTCATTTAGAGTATAAGAGTCACCTATAAATAAAGGATCAAGCCCATTTGACAAAGGATTTTTAATTTACAATTTTTGGGATCAAATTGAGAAGCCCTCGACTTTCTCTCTCTAGGGTTTGCTCTCAAGGTTGAAGAAGAAGGTGAAGCTAAGAATGGTAATGGGATTTGAAGCCATGAAGATGACATCCATCGTCTCTATGATTGGTTAGATCTTCACTTAGGGCTTGGATGAGCCCTAAGCTTGTGTAATTGTATCTCTTATCTTTCATTTTTGGGGATTTATAAGTTGTATATATTGCTTGGTCTTGTGGATTCAAACTTGGTTGTACCAAGATTTGTTTTAATAAATTCTTTCAATTAATCTTCACTTTGACTATTTGTTGTCTTATATTTGGTTGATGGTTGATTGATCTCTACATTGAGTACCTTTTGTAATTGTATTCAATGATGGCAATGCACTATTTACATTGGATATAATTGTTCTTGATTTGATGAATTATGCTTACTCTCAATGGGTTGTGCTACACATTTAGAGTATTTGTAGTTAGGTAGACAATTCATGCTTGGTTTTGAGAGTTTATACTTATTCATTGCAACTGTAGTATTTGCTTGCTTATTGATGTGTGTTTCTAGCCACGTCCACATTACAACTTGTTCTCTCCATTAATCGAAGGCGTGTAGTGCAATTAAGTGGGCTTAGTGGTGAAATCCATACACTCTTATCTTAATCCAATTTCAATTTCATACAGTCTCATTTGCATTTCTACTTAATTTAATTACACAATTAGTTAAACCAACCAATCATCATTTTTTCAATCTCACGCTCATTAATGTTAATTTCAATCCAAGCCTATAGTCCATGTGTTCGATCCCTACTCACTATACTCCAAACATAGTTGTGTATTGGTTTTATAAATTTAAAAGTGGTGTTTTCTGATTGTCATATTCTACACATCTAAGTGCATTGGACGTGATCAGAACGCATCACAACTCCTTGTCCAAACGCTCTAGTCTTTAGGCTTATTCCTCAATCCTTATAAAAGGGTTACTGGTAGAATACGAACACTCCGCAAATGCTCTTTTCACTTCATAACTCGATCGAATCCTCTGCTATTCAAATTCTGAATTTATGAAGGCAAAAAGAAAACCCTGCTCTTTCTGAACGAAATCTGAATCAATCTTCAATTGCTCATCTTCAATCAGAAAAGAACATCAACCTAATTCACTCGTGTGTTTAAGTGTGTGCCCTCAAATTAAAAAGATAAAACACTTAGAAAAATCTCTTAAAAAGGCTTTCTCAAAGTTTACAAAAGTTAATCTCAAAGCCGTAAAATCCTAGGAGAGAAATGAGTGTTAATATAGATTTTAGAGAGCCCTAGATATTCTTGGAAAGCAAGTTTAATTCGTGCAAAAATCTCTCTTAAAAATTTTATAAAAAAAGGAAACCAAATTGGTTTAAAATTGCAATTTCTAATTGGTTCCAGGGAAGTTAGGCCGGTCTAGGAAAAGTTTGACTGGTCCATTTTTGGCAAAAACTTTCTCATGGCCAAGTTGGAGTAGTCTGTAAAAGTTGGACTAATCCTTTTTTTGCAAACTTGAAAGTTTTTTTTATCAAAACTCAATTTTTCCGAAGTCTTTCCACAAAAAAATGAACTAAGTACAAAGTGTTCTCACCACATACCTTAGACTAATATGATGTTTTATTCGAATCAAAGTATGTTTTCACTTTGTCCAACCTTAACATTCCACTTCTGACATTGAGATTTGGAGATAAAACATAAAATTATAAATCGATCGGACTAATTTTGACAATAAAATTAGTCAATTATAAAATTTATAACTCACACGATATAAATAGATGACTACAAGTGTTGCAAAAATAGGGTTAAATATGAGAGACAGGTGCTTAAAATTAGAGCTTTGATGATCTTATGTGATACACAGGTGGGCGGAGGATGAGGTTCATCCTCCGCGCTGACGTGGCCCAATGACACGATGACAAGTGTCCAAAATAAAAATAATAATAAAATATGGGCAATGCCCATTTTATCCAGGTTAAACCCGTTTCTTACTCTCTTCTCTCTCTTTCCTAAATTTCATAACAGACCCAACCGAAGGTAAACTCTCCGACCGTGACACCCAATCTGCTATCACGTCAGAGCTCGAGTCCTCCTCGCCGTTGGCCGATCATGCTTCTACCTCTCATCAATTCCTCTGTCACAACCCATACATCTATTTGTTTTTTTCTCCCACAACCCATCCATTTTCATTCACGCGATCTTACATTGGATCGGGTAGTGGTGAAATTGGATCAATTGCCCATTAGTGGCTGCGACTGCAGGCTCTTCAGGTGAGGTTGAGACAGAATTTTCCATGTCTACCTCCATGATGCCTGAACATCAAATACTGAAAATCTCAAACAATTATTAAAGTTTATACAGGTGAAGTGAGACTATTTATCTACTACTATTCTTCTGCAAATGGAATTTCTCATAAATGATGCTTAACGAAAAAATAAAAACTCAACCCATAAAAATTACACATTAACTATTTTTGGATCATCAAATCACCTGCTCGCAATTGAGGCAATGACCTCCACCGTTATTGAAACTGCCACCGCCGCAAAAAATCACAACCTCCCTCTCCGTCGCCGTCCCACTCCCGATCCCAGTCTCGGTGGTCAAACCCTAACCCTTACGATCTCCGATCCAACTGGTGTTCAGTTGATGTGCCGACCTTGATGAGATGGGCAAACGCAGCGTTCTCTCTCGCCGTTGATGTGCCGACCTTAAGAGCTCTGACCAGTGGTTTGATCGCTCCCGATGAAGCTATCAACTCCTTGTTCTCGTCGTAGAGAGATAGGTTTAGAATTGTGGTGACGCCGTACTCTTGAAGCTGAGGATCGGACGACAAGATCAGCGAAATCAACGGCTTGATCGCGCCGGCGCGAGTGATCTTGATTCAATTCTCTGACTTGTTCTTGGCGAGGAGCCTGATCTCCATCGCCGCTTGCTTTTGATCGTCGATTAATCTCGCCTCGAGGCTGGAGATGGTTGAAATGGGTTTAACCCGGAGAAAATAGGCATTACTTATTATTATTTTTTTGACACCTGTCATCGTGTCATTGGGCCACGTCAGTGCGGAAGATGAACCTCATCCTCCACCCGCAGGATACAAACATTGTTCATATGTTAGTGTGTAAATTCAAAATTGTGTCGTCCATGAAAAGACATAACTTTTTAGAATTGGTAAATATGTACATTATTTTTTAAATTGAAAAGGTGTCTTTCTGGAAAAGACACAACCTTTCTGGAAAGTCCCCTTTCAAGGTGATTCCACGTGTATGAAATCTACATACTCTCTCTCCCTATAAAACATTCTTTTTTATAGTATTCCTTTGCAGAATTCTTTTCCATTCCTACCTTTCCAAACATATTGGCATTCTTTATCGATCATACACCTACAGAGTGTAACAAGAGTTCTGGGTTGTAGTCAACTGTGCAACGTTTGACTACAACAAACCCTCGTTATTGTAAGGGAAAAAATTTCACTTAAAAGAAGATGTTATTCTTACCTAGAGTCATTTGGGTTACTGGTTATCCAATAGAACTGGAGATCCAAAATGTCAGGTTGCGATTGAATTTTCAGTGAGCTGTTGTTTTGTATGCAGGATTCCTACCGGGATCTATCCAGAGTGGCATGATTGTCAGATTTGGTATGGCTGGAAGAATTTTGTTTTTTTCTCGCCATCCAATAGAACAGGAGATCCAAAATGTCAGGTTGTTCTTGCAGAACATATTATTTACTGGTCAGAAGTTAATTGCAACGTTTGGTGCAGCCCTTTCAGGTTGGTGTCAGAAGTTCGGATTGTTGCCGAACATGTTATTCGTGTGGAGCAATGGGTCATAATTTCACTGTCAAGTTCACTTGCAGATAGTTGTAATGTTTCAAATTTACCTTGCGTATTGTATTATTTCTAACACAGTATGTGTTTGGTTGTAAGTTTCTACAAATAGTGTAGTCTAGGGATATTTTTGTACTTTTAAATTTTAGTTCAACTGAATTAAGTTTGGATTGTTTTGGAATATTTGGTGTGCTTTCGCCATAAAAGTTAAGTGTATGGGGTATTTAAAAAGTTTCTAATATTTTTATGACCAAGTACAAAACCCAAAAGTAGCTTTCTTAGGATAAACCAAGAAAGAGAGGTTGTCGTCTACCAGTCTTTGGAGATGTACTCTAGAGCCAGAGCTCCTACTCTCACACAACGTAGGATTTCAAGCATTGGTGGCTAGAGTTTGCGAAATCTAGGCTAGGGTTTGAGAAGTTGACCTCACGGCGCTGTCCAATTTGTTTGGCTCACAAAGTGGTCTGAGGTCGCTAGCCAATGAACGGCTGACCTAGAACGCAGGCATGCCAGAGTCCTGATGGACTCGAATATTTCTTGCCAAACTATTCCTATCGGGTCGGGTCACCGACCTAAGGTGATTCAGGCGAAAGTTGGAGAGTAGGAATGACCCTCTCCTTAAGGTTGCTATTGCCTTTAAGAAAGTACTTTAAACACTCAAGATAAACATGAATTAGAAGCAACTTAACTGGACAATAAATATACCTGAATCTGCAAACATTTCTTCATTGAACTTGACTGATTACAATGATGAATGAATTACAAACTCTTGATTGAAATGGAAACTAAAGTATTAAATGCTGGAAGATGAACTAAGTACTAAATTGATAGTGTTAAGCTAAACTTGCTGAAATAAAAGCTAAGTGCTAAACTGAGCTTGATGAAATAAAAGCTAAGTGCTAAATGATAGGAATGCTAAAGGTTGAACTTTAGAAATGGTCTTGGACCTCTTCCGTGTGATGCTTGAGTGGGTATTTATAAAGGCTTCCACCTGGTGTTGTCCCTTTCAACCGTTTCTCTAGAAATTGATTGGTTGTAAGCTGAAAGTGACTTTTCCTAACCACCAGCTGGAAAGGTTGACTAACTTGCACATCCCTCTATAGGCAGATACAAGTATGTCTGACATAGTGTTTTTGACTAAATGGTGCCTATTCTTTCATGCTTGATGATTTTGGTCTTCAAGCCATTTTCAGCTCTCTGCACCTGTCATGTCTGGCTTGATTTGTACATTAGCCTGGAGTCATCTGATTACTGACAATCCTGACTTTCCTCATCAGATGTTGGTGAGAACCCTCCATCTGTAGTTCTGAACTTCTGACATTGTCAAGTTGTCCTTTTCTATTTCTAGCTTTCCTCAAACTTCTAGACCTGACTTGTTGGGTTCTTGAAACATTGGGATTCACAATCAGTCTTTATTTGAATTACCCCAAAGATTCCTCAAGTGATTATGACCCGAGACCCCTGATCATGACCATATTTGGTCATAAGTCTTGATCATGGCCATAGTGACTAGAAATCTTGGTTAAGATTCATAATCATGACCATTATGACTGAGGGTCTCCTGACCATGACCGTTGTGATTGAGAAAGTTGTGACTGAGAGTATTTTGGCCTAAAACTTATGATCATGACCATTGAGACTTGGAGTCATAACCATAGTGATCGAGAAGGGTGTTGGCCTAAAACTCATGATCATGACCATAGTGACTGAGAAGGTTTTGGCCTAAGACTCATGATCATGATGACTGAGACTCTCATGACCAGGATGACTGAGAAGGTTTTGGCCTAAGACTCATGATCATGATGACTGAGACTCTCATGACCAGGATGACTGAGAAGGTTTTGGCCTAAGACTCATGATCATAACCATTGAGACTGGGAGTCATAGCCATAGTGACTGAGAAGATTTTGGCCTAAAACTTACGACTATGAGACTGAGACTCTCATGACCAAGATGACTGAGAAGGTTTTGGCCTAAAACTTACGACCATGAGACTGAGACTCTCATGACCAAGATGACTGAGAAGGTTTTGGCCTAAGACTCATGATTATGACCATTGAGACTGGGAGTCATAACCATAGTGACTGAGACTCTCAATCATGGCCGGTTATGAGCTCAAAACCTCATATCAGTCTTAATGGCCTAAAAATTCCACTCTTCTTCATTCTCAGCCTTAAATCGGATCGCCATGATTAGAAATTAATCTCTCGCCCTGATGACCATGGGTCGACCCAAAGTTCAGACTTCATGATTTCTGACCACATGGCATGATTGCTTCGAATTATATTTTAGGTGTTACCAACTGCCCCCCAACTCTATGAAAATGGGTTCATACCAAATTTTCGTAGAGTTGTATTTATTTTGGCCAGTTTTTATGTTCAGCCTGGGACCAGTCAAGGCCAATTTTTTGCCTTCGATGTATGGATAACCAAAACCATTTATTAACTGGAAGAGAACTGTGTATCATCTCTTTGCCATGGCCATTTGTACCTTGGCCATTTTGAAGCTTCCAACTTGCTCAAGCTTTAAAAGAAACAAACACACCGAAACAGAACATAATAGCAGCTAAAGAACATTCTTAGAGAGAGAACTAAGGGAAACCATTCAAAACAAATAGCACCATAAAATCACATGATGTTGCAGTGTTGCACCTTTTAACAGCCCCCAATCCCTAATGAAATTAAAATCTGATATATACATATGTATACGTATATGTATACATATATACATATATATATATACCAGGTTCCATGTGTATCACACCAAGAGTTGTTACGCCCTCTTCCGATTTGACCATGGATTCCAGGTTTATTTCATAGTGCTGGAGATGGTGTTCCCACCTTTGTCCATCATTCATACCCAATAGTTTTGGGTTTCGGGTGGGCTTCAAAACTGACTCATGTGAGTGTCGGGACCTCGTCAAGCCCAAGCAACAACGAACACACACACATATATATATGTATATATATGACGGCTGTGAGCTTCTACAAACTGCATGGTAGACTCTACCAGCGATGGGCCTGTGATTTACGAACCTCCGTATCGCAAAGCGCTGCAATGAGTTTGCCTAGGAACTACGTCGGCCGTAGAGAGATTTTCGCATCGATTATCTTCTTCATGAAGTCACCGCTGCCGAACCTATCACCGTGGATAGATTCGCCACCGGAGAAAAACATACAGGTCTCCATGCAAGCACAACATTGTCACCCTCACCGTCATCGCCCATCTTTTGTTACAATAACTACAGCAGCCACCTTTGTTGTCATCAAACTTGCAAATGGCGATAATCACGTTCAAACCATTTCCAAACTTCCTGTCTGGCTCCTCGCGGTTTTGGGTTTCAGTGAGCTTCAACCCGTTTGCTTAACCGAATCTGCTACGGACCAAGAATCTTGATCATGAAGGTTCATATATATATATATATATATATATATATATATATACATATTTATATGTGTATATACATATACATTTAACAACTGCAAGCTTCTGCAAACCGCATGATAAATTCCAACGGTGATGGGTCTGTTTGCACAATAACTTGCCATCGTCTTCATGCTTTAACAGTGCATCAGGTTATTGATACCTTCTCTTTTGTAACAACCCCAATTAAACCATAACCTGATGCACTGTTCATAGACAATGAGAAAGGCCAGAAATAATAATATTTTCCATTAACCTGGAACGATGTTGGCCATGAAGTATGTCGGCACTGGTTATCTTCTTTATGAAGTCACCGCCGCCGAACTTATTGCAGTAGATGGACTTGCCGCTGGAAAAACGTCTAAGGTTCCCTTGCAAGCACAAACCGTCATTCTCTTTGGTAGCGTCACCGCCGGAGATGGTGCCGTCGTCCTTCATCCATACCCGACGGCTTTGGATGGACTTCGCACTGCCCCAGTTGGAAAATCAAAACAGGTCCAACCATTTATTCCAGTGCGAAACAACTTTCTGTTCGACCAATAAGTTGGTGAGCACCTGGTTAGCAACCATGGACACTTTACATCATTTGTGAGTCCTACGAATTGCATGGGCCACTCCTCCAGCAATGGGCTTACCATCGCAATTTGCTGAAATTGTCACCAACAACAGACCACAATCCGTTCATTTCTAAATCGGCGTCAACCATGAAGCTCTCGCCGTCGATCCCACTGTCGTAGATGAACTCGCCGTCGGTGTATGAATCCAGCGATCATGAAGGCTCTGGCTGTCTTCTCCCTTAAGCTCGCGACTTAGTTGGGCGAGAAAAGCACAAAGTAACTGAAGCATGAACTCCGTGGCATGGCGTCCATTCCCAGCGATGATTTTGGCGAGCTTTGTGAACTGCATGCATGGGCAACTCTCCGGTGACGTATTTGGCGC